GTTTCGGACGCTTGCGTGGTCGAGAAGTGGTGATTTGGTAATTTACGCGATAACCACAATGGATGCGTCGGATAGTATGAGATTGGAGTCCATGAGCCAGGAGGCATATTTTTTTATCAGAAGAAGGTATTAATTTCGGACTGAGGTACGTCATTCTAATTCCCAGTATACACCGGTGTGTAGTGAACCTCGTTCGGTGATAGTAATTTTGGTATTATCCGCAAGCAATAAAGGAAATTTACCTATCTCAATGTTACTGAGTAATGAGCGGGAGGATATGTTTGAAAGTTTCGATCTATCAAGGCGATATTAGCGCATTTAAATTCGAATTAAATAAACGAAATGAGTCTTTTAGTAAAGTTAAGTATGCCTCGTGAAAACAGCAATACTCTGAGGGATTGTGAGGCTGAGACATTGCCTATATATAATCCTCTCAGTACTGTTATGGCCGAAGGGATTTTATTTAGTGTTACGTTGTCGCTCTATTAGAAACTATGGTATGTTTCGTTGGGGCGAATCCGAGAGACTCATAAAATCCTATCTTTAGATAAAAATAAAAGAATAAAAAGAAAAATATTCGTGATGTCCATAGTTATAGCATAAACCAATAACTTGCCACTTATCAAGAATTACCGACTTAGCCTTCATCAGACTGGCACATCAGGTTGGCTGAACGGAGGTTAAACTAGGTAACGCTAATAGTCCCTCGAAACCTATATTCGATTGAGCCATCTCGCTACCGAAGTATTCAGATATAAACAGATTTGGAAGTTAACATAGTTCTATTAATAGAACTAGTCCAAATCATATCTTTGGCATTTTAATGTTGCCTTTTAATGGCCTTATCCAAATATCTGATATGTAAAATGGAAATTGTATTTAATTAATAAAACCGTTAAAACCCCTTTTAGGAAACTTAACTTCCTCGTACTATTAAGAGTACGTTTATAACATAGAGTCTAATGTGGAGGCCCGGCTAATACACAGCCCCCACCCAGCTTTGAAATCAAAGAGAGACTAGTTGCTCACTCAAGCCGATTTTGGATTTACAAAGCGAGAAGGAAAAACGGGTCGAAACATTGAGTAGCATAACGTATAGTTAATGTTTCTCAGGCGGAGAAGTTAAGCGTTCTCGGTTACCCTTTGAGTTTTGGGCTTAGGTCCAGTAGGTCCGTGGTGGTCGACTGGACATTTCTTACGCTTCAGTGTCTTAAGCACATATGAAGGGTGAGCATTAAAGCTTGGGATAAATGCTGTAGGCGGGCAAGTTTTAACTTCCGTGCCTTCAGACGATGGAAACATGCTATCCTTTTCAGCTTGTGACTTATGCAGGCGTTTACGCCATTTTCGATTAAAGGCTTTTAAATAGTCTTGATTATCGAAAGCATCTGAAGTCAACTCAGCGATTGTACCGTCTATAAAGCGTGTACGATAGTATGTATAACCTCCCTTATCCGTTCTCCATACAATGTCTTTAAATTCAAAACGATCAAGAGGGGTATTAGAGTCGTCTTCTTGCGTGCATAATCTCTGTAGTCGGAATCCGACTAGTGCCTATATTTAAAGCACTGGAACCGTCGGGGTTATTAACCTCATAGGTTCCACTTTTAGCGTCAGCTACAGAGATTATATATGGTCCTATCCATTTAGATGTTAATACAGTAGCATCGGAATTACGTTGACGGATATTGACTCTGTCTCCAACCTGATACTCTGTTATCTTTTGGTAGCATTCCATCTATTTTGCCTTTTTAATAAGGCTATATTGCGTATTTCTCGCAAGCAAGGATATACAACGTTATAAATACGTTGGACATTCTCTAACCAAGGTAACTCATGGTGATCAGGTTCGTCCTTGTTAAAGGGAATTTGTAACTCACTATATCTGCCACAAAATAGCGAGCGGGTGTAGTTCCTGTAACCGGATCAGCACACTCGTTCATCTGTGTTTGTACCCACTTAAGGTGGTACGGCCAATCATCCGCATCATCCGTTAATGCAGTACGCAAGAAGTGCCTAAAAACTTCAAGATTAACGAGAAGAAATGCCACTTCGCAATGAGCGAAATACAGCTCTTAGGCTACCATATATCTGGGGAAGGTATTAAAATCGACCCCGGTAAGGTAGCACACTTGTTAGATTGGCAAACACCAACTACAGGAAGAGATGTTATCAGCATGTGTGGGTTTGTAAACTTCTTTTCAGATGGAGTACCACATTTGGCTGATTATCTTATACCCTTTGGACACTTAAGATGTCATAAAGGCAAACTAGGAGACTTGTGGACTAAAGAGTGTGATGACGCATTTATAGCGCTCAAGCACGCAGTCCAACCAGCCCCTGTTGTACAAGGACCAGTCGATGGCGTGCCTTTTGAAATAGCAATGGACGCATCAGACTTAGCCTTAGGAGGAGTATTATATCAGGTTATAAATAACAAACCTAGATATATACAATTCTTTAGTCGAGCAATGAATGCTTCACAGTTGAATTATCCAACTGCTAAACAAGAGCTATTAGCCATAGTGGCAGCTCTAACACACTTCCGAGATTACTTATACGGAACAGCATTTACGCTGATGTGTGATCAGAAATCTTTTCAATGTATGGCAGAGATGAAATCCGACTAACAATTACTGAGTCGCTGGCATGATACAATATCAAAGGTTCATTTTGATATAAAACATCTGCCAGGAATACATAACCATTTACCGGATATGTTATCACGCTTTGTACCGGACTTTAATAAATCCGTACGTGAGTTACTAGCCACTGACTGGAAGTGTAATCCCAGGTGGTTTGAACTGAATCAAAAGATAGTTGGGCCACATACCATAGATATGTTTGCTGCACATCATAACGCACAACTATCGAATTACAGGACTTTAAATCATCCTTTGGGAGACTCCTTTCAAACAGACCTCTCCAAACATAATGCGTGGGCTAATCCACCATGGCAGTTAATTGCCCAGCTATTAAATTATGTTCAAATATATAAAGCTACCATCACGTTGTGTTGCCCATTACGGAGTAAAGATCCATGGCTCAATCAATTAATAAGCATGATACAATGCGAGCCAATATATTTAGATAGGGAAGTAGATACTTTCCTATATCAGGGTACCCGAGCCGTCCAGAAGACGCCCTGGAGACAAACTATAATATTTCGTATAGGTCCCATTGGAACAACCAAAAGAACCCCTTCTGAGACCTTCCTTAACAAGGTCGAAGAATCAGAGATTCCACTCTCTACCCAATTGAACTTTAAGCAGTTCAAAGGCAACACGAATCACTGTTAAGAAGCGTCAGTTTCTAGGACTCTGTTTAGTAACATAAAGTCCAAGCCCGAAGTCTTTCAACCCCTATTTTTAAAGGGATTAATGAAAGACTATTCTGAAGCATATACACATATAATGCGACTATTAAATAAGTCAGTTGTATCAAACGCACAGGAGCGCACTTATGACGCTCATGCGAAAGAAGGATAGGAGTCTGGAAACACTACAGACTTAGAGACCACGCAAGTGGATTCTCAACACCCTACCTTTATTCTGGAGGAACAGAATGATAAAAACATTCTTGCTTGGCTGACGCAAAACCATAAGCTGAAGCACCAGAACGTAGTAGACGCACTTAAAGATGCTAAGCGAAATGGGATCGCGCACCCTAAGCTGGCAACTTTAGTTGACAGAGTATATCAGTCATGTACAGACTGTGATCTCAATCAGATCAAGCGCTATGGGTTCGCACCGCTTAAAGTATGACTGAAGATGTTCCATGGCGCAGGGTCATCATTGATCTGGTTGACCTGCCCACGTCCGATCACACAGGCGACCGTTACGTATGCCACTTCTTTGATGTGGCGTTACGGTATAACTTGCTCTATCCGTTAAAGGACATGAGTACGCAGACTGTGGCAGAATTATGTTGCCAAGTCTTTGCTGACCACGGGTGGCCAGGGTTACGCCTGTATAAGTCACAAGCTGAAAAAGATAGCATGTTTCCATCGTCTGAAGGAACGTAAGTTAAAACTTATCTGCCTACAGCATTTATCCCGAGCCTCAATGCTCATCCTTCATACTGTAATAAGCCGGGCCTCCACATTAGACTCTATGTATAAACGTACTCTTAAGCAGTACGCGAATTATAAACGTACTCTTAATAGTACGAGGAACTTAAGTTTCCTAAATG